TATATTATAACAAAAAAATGATAAATAGACGCAAGAGATAGATTTCCTCTTTCGTTAAAAAAGAAAATACGAAAGAGATTTTTCCTCCTTCGTTTGATAATAAAATGATAAGATGGAAAAATATCCTCGCTCGTTCCATGAAGAAAAAACATTAAGCACATAAATTTCCACTCCCCCCCCTCTTTTTTTTTTTTTTAATAGGAAGCTGACATGGCGGGGATCATCTCAATTACGTCACGTTACAAACAGGCGGTTGACGTGAGTGAACCTCTCTACATGGACGAGTTTAGCGTCATGCACAAGAGGCCGATTTTGCAGTCGGACATTTTAGGATTCTACAAGCCGTTCACGCAGACGGTGAGGAACGATGGCGGCGGTGGTTAGCATTAAAACACTCACGTACACACACGTACACACGCGTACACACGCGTACACACGCACACACACACACACACAAAAAAAAACAAACGTACACACACACAAACACAAAAAAAACACAAACACACAAACAAACACACGTACACACACGCACACGTACACACCCAAACAAACAAAACAGACACACTTTTTTATCTTTTCTTTCCCTTTTTACCAAACAACAAAAGCCAAAAGCCGTTCCTCCCGCAGATGTGGGTGACGCTGCTCCTGTGCGTTCTGGCGACGACGGCGGTGACGGCGGCCATCCTCCACTGGGAGTCCGCCCTCACGCGGCCCAGACGGTGAGACGCTGAGCTCGTTTTGGGGTATATATATATATATATATATATATATATATATATATATATATATATATATGTGTGTGTGTGTGTGTGTGTGTGTGTGTGTGTGTGTGTGTGTGTGTGTGTGTGTGTGTGTGTGTATGATATACATGATTTCGGTTTAGCGTCACGAAACTCCCTTTTTGATCAAGGGCCAGGACGGGCCTGCCCCGTGAGGGACAGGCAGGAATTGGCAGGTGGAGACCGTTACCCCGAGTGGATGCCCTTCCTAACCTCGGATCATGGCCGGGATTCGAACCCCGGCCCACAGCCGCGCGCGTTACCACTGTACCACGGCCCTTGCCTGATTGGATGCCCTTCCTAAACACACACATATATATATATATATATATATATATATATATATATATATATATATATATATGTGTGTGTGTGTGTGTGTGTGTGTGTGTGTGTGTGTGTGTGAGTGTATGTATATGAAATATATATATATATATGTGTGTGTGTGCATCTGTGTGTGTGTGTGTGTGTGTGTGTGTGTGCGTGTGCGTGTGTGTGTGCGTGTGCGTGTGTGTGTGTAAGTGTGTGTTTGTACACACACATATGTGCAAATATAAAAGGATGTGTCAGAAAATTTGAATGCTGAGCAAGTCCCCATTGATTTGTTATCAAGTCTGTCATGCAAAGAGCAAGTGTCAAAAAAATCCTTGCTCTTTTATTTTATTTTAATAGTTTTTTTATTATAATTGTTCTGTCCAAAGAAATTTAAGAGTAGGTTCATCATCTTCACTTTTTCCTTTACTTGTAAGTCATAAAATAACAAACCCTTGAATCCCAAAGTATTTTCTATTCTGTACAAATGAATAAAATTATTTTCTTTTCTGTACTAATAAATAACTATAATCTTGAATTTTAGAGTAATTTTCAGTGGAATCGACTTTAAACTATTTTTTTCTGAATATTCAAAGGGATAAAATATATTCAACCAATTCTATTCATTAACCTATGGATTTTTTTTAGGAGAATATTGTGTATCACAGTTTGCTAACCTGACTAATATTACACAATATGCGATTCACTGTGTTAGCATTTCCTAACGTTCAATTCATACTCACAATTTCTCCAACGATGATATATCCCTTAAAATAACGATACACGAAATACCACCCATTAATACTAACCTCTTCTAGTGCCCCCACAAAATAACAATATTCCCGAGGGCGTAACACAGCAATCAATGAAGCAAATACACCAATAAATACAAATAAAATCTTAACTTACCAGGCACGGCGATAGACAACGAAACAGCTACCTCTCTGCCTGCGCTAAGTCGATTCACTGGAATTTTTCGCATCTGCTGAGTCAAGGTGAGACATTCCGCTTATTCGTGGGATATTTTATTTATTTATTTATTTATTTATTTACTTTTTTTTAAGTCTGTGGGATAAATGCTGGACTTTATGTTTAATGCGTTTTTCTTTCCTTCGCGTTTTCTCTTTGTGTTTATTTGTGCACGCTGTGATTTTTTGGTTTTTGTTTATTTTGTTTATTTATATCAGCAGTACTTTACTTTGTCTCTTATGCTTACATTATATTCTTTTCTCTCTTTCGTAATTATCAAATTTTCTCTTATATACTAAATTATATTCTCTCTCATCTCTATTTCTTGATCATATATTTTTTTTCATTTTAATTTTCTTAAAATCACACTCTCCCTCACCCCTTCCTCCCTCCCTCCCTCCCTCCCTCACCCCCCTTCCTCCCCAAATAAAAACCGACTTCCCCCCTCCCCCTCCCTCACCCCCTTCCTCCCTCCCTCACCCCTTCCTCCTTCCCTCACCCCTTCCTCCCTCCCTCACCCCCTTCCTCCATCCCTCACCCCCTTCCTTCCTCCCCCTGCCCTCCCCCTTCCCCTTCCCTTTTTTCCCCTCGCTCTCATTCCCCCTTCCCTTTTTTCCCCTCGCTCTCATTCCCCCTTCCCTTTTTTCCCCTCTCTCTTCCCCCCTTCCCCTTTTTCCCCTCCCCCCTCCCCCTCCCTTTTTCCCCTCTCTCTCTTTCCCCTTCCCTTTTTTCCCCTCTTCTTAAGGTGAGACATTCCGCTTATTCGTGGGATATTTTATTTATTTATTTATTTATTTATTTACTTTTTTTTTAAGTCTGTGGGATAAATGCTGGACTTTATGTTTAATGCGTTTTTCTTTCCTTCGCGTTTTCTCTTTGTGTTTATTTGTGCACGCTGTGATTTTTTGGTTTTTGTTTATTTTGTTTATTTATATCAGCAGTACTTTACTTTGTCTCTTATGCTTACATTATATTCTTTTCTCTCTTTCGTAATTATCAAATTTTCTCTTATATACTAAATTATATTCTCTCTCATCTCTATTTCTAGATCATATTTTTTTTTTTCATTTTAATTTTCTTAAAATCACACTCTCCCTCACCCCTTCCTCCCTCCCTCCCTCCCTCCCTCACCCCCCTTCCTCCCCAAATAAAAACCGACTTCCCCCCTCCCCCTCCCTCTCTCTCTCTTTCCCCCTTCCCTTTTTTCCCCTCTCTCTTCCCCCCCTCCCCCTCCCCCTTCCCTCCCTCCCCCTCCCTTTTTTCCCCTCTCTCTTTCCCCCTTCCCTTTTTTTCCGCTCTCCCTCTTTCCCCTCTCCAGCCGTTCGTTGGGAACCGACAGGCAACCCCGGGCGAGTCATATCAGGGATCTGGCTAATCACGGCCTTGATCCTCACTACTGTCTACCGCTCGAACCTCAAGGCCATGCTCATTATGCCCCGGATTGTGTTGCCCTTTAACAGCCTGAAGGAGTTGTCGCAGTCGGATATAATTATGTACGTGACCAAAGGGAACTACTTCCATGATTATGTGATGGTAAGTGATTTTGTTTTATTATTTTTTTCTCGTGTGTTTTTCTTTTTTTCTTTTTTTCTTTTTTTTTATCTTTTTTATCTTTTTTTTTCTCGTGTGGGTTTCTTTTTTCTTTCTTTTTTCTCTTTTTATTATAATTATTTATTATTTTTTTTTATAATAATGGTAATGATAATTATGATGATGACAGAAATAATAATAATGATAGTAATAATGATAATTAATAATAATTAATAATAATAATAATAACAATTACTATTATTATTGCTATTATTATTTATTACTATTATTATTGTAATTATTATTATTATTATCCTTATTATTATCATCATCATCATCATCATCATTATCATTATTATTATTACTATTATTATTATTATTATTATTACTATTACTATTAGCAATAGTAGTAGCAAAAAAGAAAGTTTAAACATTAACGTAGGCTATTAAATGTATAACTAAGTTTGAATAACGTAGTGTATACCATAAAGAAGAATTTAAATATTATCGTAGGATTTCGAATGCTAAAAAAATATTAACGCACCATATTCTAAATAGTTTGAAAACCAACGCAGAATAAAAATAAAAATAAATAAATAAAATAAAAAACTAAACATTAATGCAACAAATTCTAACCATTTTGAATACCAATTGAAAATAAAATACAATTATCCTTCTTTTAACCATTATTCCATCGATATCAAATAAAAACTTAATATATTCACGCACCGAGTTCTAAAACGATTTGAATATTAACGCAAGATATAAAAAAAAAAACTTCTAACAACTCAAAAGCACATTCTTCTAATAACTCACCCCCCCCCCCAAGAAAGCCCCGTCGGAGAGCGTGGTGGGGTCCCTGAGGAAGCAAGTCGACGCCCACGAGGACATCCCGCGGGCGATCGCTGACATCATCGGCGGGCGGGTCGCGGGCGCCGGACCGATGGCTAACATCGCGGTCGTTATGCATGAGATGTTTTCAAAGGTAATGAGGAGGAGGGGCATCGCCTGTGGTGTTGCTGGGACTTGCAGGGTATGGAGGTGTTAAGATTAAGTGTGCTCGAATGCGATGTATATCTGTATCTATTTATATACATACATTTATAATAATAAAAACACACACACACAGTAAATGTATATAAAAAAAAAAAGAAAGATGGAGTAATGCAGTTACATTGATATAGATCTATAACAATCCTCCCTGACCAGGCCTCGAACCTAGGTCACTCCGGGTATGACACCGGGAGGGCCTGTACTGAACCAACTATTCCACCCGACATTATAGACATTACTTCATTCTACCATTATCTATTAATTTTTTTCCAATTATCCATCATTTTATTTTCCTTTTTTTATCTCTCTTTTTACTCCCACACGCACTAGACGGGATCATGTCCGCTGTACGTCATGTCAGAGACTTTCATGAAGAGTACAAGCAGGAGCATAGCGATTCGGAAGGGAGCGGAATTCAAGCCAAAAGTGGACCGAGCGTAAGGAACCTCCGTCGCCTTTTAGTTTGCAAGAATGGGGTGTGTATAGTGTGGGAGAAGAAGAGGAGGAGGCGGAGGAAGAGGAGGACGAGGAGGAAGAGGAGGAGAAGGAGGAGAAGGAGGAAGAGGAGGAGGAGGAGGGGGAGAAGTAGGAGGAAGAGGAGGCAAAGGAGGAGGAGGAGGAGGAGGAGAAGGAAAAGGAGAAAGTGGAGAAGGAGGAGGAGGCGTATGAATAATGCAAGGACTGTCAGGATGACAGGATGGTGAAATGGTATTTGATATGACGGTTGGTGATGGTATATAAAATGTAAACATTTTCTATTTCATATTATGGCAGTATTTTTTGTGTTTGTGTGTGTGTGTTTACAAGATACTGGGTGTATGTTTATGTATGAGTTTTTAAATAATAATTCATGCCATGATTTAAACTTGCATCAGAATTCGACTTAAAACCAAGAATGTTACTGACATGAATTTTCGTCAGGGTTATATTACCTGCAAGAAGATAGCCTAGTTAAGTATATTTTCCTTTGTTTTTTTTTCGTCTATCAGACGGTAACCTATTAAAGTCTAAGTTATTTTTTATATTTATTTTGCCTATCTGTTTATTTTCATCATAGAACGGTTAATTCATTGCTGAATTGCCGTGGTCCCTCAAGCATCTCTTTTCTGTGAGAGTCTACAAATTTCAGCAAAACTCAAGCCACTGATCTCTTTGATGTTATCACTATAGCGTATCTGTTTATTTTAGTCTAGGCTAAAATTGCACAGAATCGTCTAACCTTCCTCTACACTTGAACGTCGATTCGCTCATAACTAACCAACCACAACGGCTCCTTCTCTTAAAAAGGATTCGTGGCCTCAAGGAATTTGGGATTCTGGACCACCTACTGGAAAAAGCCCTCGTCAATGCTACGGAGTGTTTGAAGCCCGTGACCTTTAACCTGGGATCTGAGAGTCTTCGTTCCCTTGACCTTGGAGATTTCTACGGGGTTTTCGCTATCTATGCTGGCGGTGAGGTTAACATATATATATATTGTGGGGAAGAAAAGGGCGACGCTGGGGTGTTTTTTTTTTTTTTACGATGGGGTACAAGACGTGTGGCGGGGGTCGTTCCTTTTATTTGATTAGTGTTTTTGCGTTTCTGTGTGTGTGAGCGGTCTTCAATCGTCTAAAATTTGGTGCACACGATGTTTAAAGCCTTATTCTGAAATATTAGCATACAAGATGAGATGTAGCTGATTTTTGTGTGTGTGTAATAGGTGCTTAGCATTTCATGAGTTATCTTTAATACTAGTATATCTATCAGTACACGAATCACAAGCCAAGATCATTTACCAATCCTTTTAATGTGAAATCTGCTCGCTATCTTTCTCTCAAAATCCCACTTTTTCAGGTATCCTCCTTGGCTGCATAGCTTTCGTGCTAGAGATAGGTGCGTCGCTAGTGAAGAAGAAGCAAGAACGGTAAGAGGCGTGAGCACCCAGGATGGACTTCATAGAACCTACTGACTTGGTTTACTGACAGCCATGTGTAGCACTCTATATATCCCTAAATAACATACGTCGTAGATCCCAACACTAATGTTAAAAAAAGGAATGGATATGGAAACCCCGTCTACACAACTGAGCCTTTTTCGCGGACTCAGAGTACGTTATCTAAGGGCAGCCGGGCAGGAACGAGGAGTAGATCCTTGGGCAGGGCTACTCAACTGGTGACCCATTGTCCGAATCCAGACCTTCTGAGTGTTATAGCATGATCCCAGGCTCCAGGAGAAGAAAAGTATAGATAAATAAAATCAAGGTCCTGGCGATGGATTCTCGAAGGTATGTTTCCTCGAATGAATATGAAAAGAATAAAAAATCATATCAAAGCACTATGGAGTGCTCAGATTGGTGGCTTTTATTTTCATGATTGTAAAATATTTATCCGGACCTCTGCATACATTGGAACTTGTGTAACTGGACCTTTGCTCATAATAGGTGAGCAGCCCTGCCCTAGGGAATCGTGTGCATTCTGACAAGCAAGATGCTCAACGAAAATGAACATTTTGAGTCTTAACTAGTAAACTCTAGTAGAGGAGAAAGAGAATTGACGTCGGCTTTCTAAAAAATAGAAACAGAGGTGCCTCTCGCCGATTTCTATGTTCAAGGCTTGGATAACTGGCAACAACGACTCCTTAGGATACTTACATGCCTACTGATCATTCTCTGGTGAACTGGTTCAACCTCCAGAACGGGCACAGTGCTTGTTTGCCCATAGACACAAGCGAGCGAAAAAAAGGTGTTAATTGGCAACTAGTCCCTTGTACCTCCAGACACAACTTGGATAGTTATGTAAACGGGGTTTAGAACACAGTATGCGTGGAATGCTACAGTATAGTACCACTGGCTTTGTGAGATATATGATTTTGCAGAAAATAGTTGTGTTCTTTAATAAGGTGTGTGGTAAGTTCTAATCAGTTTAAAACGTTCCTTGTTTAATAATAATGTATACTTCACACACCATTATTGGCTCCGTGTATCATATTCATCTTGAAATTACACGAAATATTTTGCAATAGCTTTTAAGAACTTATTCATTAATAATCACCTGCAATCTGTATTGTTTACTTTTCCTTTTACTGTTTCCAAAGGCCTTCTCTTGCTTATAAAAAGTGGATTCTCATCCCTCTGCTGAAAATTAAGTCGTCTGCTGTCATGGGAATCTTAATGTCATTTTATAAGTTGGAGAAAAATTGAATGATAATTGAATGGCTATTTTTAGACGAGATGTTTTCAGATATCTGGTGTTGTAATATATTATGTACTCTGGCATATGTTAAACTAGAATTTTGTTATTTTTGCCTTGTATGTAAAATTACCATAACATTCTGGAATAACCCAAAGTAACCATTCCGAATGTATTAATACCTACCTGTCGATAATAGATTTGATGGAGGTATTCAATTAAACATTAGAAACACTCGATCTGCCATTTAAGTACTTAAAAAATATATTCAAATGACAGATCACATAAATAAGGTATCAATAGCAACGGTAATACATTCAAACAGTACAGAGGGAACATGATATCCATTGTGAAGAAGAACATGAAGATACAACAAAGATGGAAAGCCAAAGGAACAGCAGACAATGATCTCGTAAGATCGTAATTGTAACAGACTTTAAGCAGGGCCTGTAGCGAGGATGGCCAAGAGGCGTTGCATCCTGAAAGCGTTTGCCGAACCCTTTTTCTGACCATTTCATTGCAGCAACGGGTAACAATTCTGACTGATCTTCACATTGTATTTATGGCAGACATTTCAGGAAATGACCCTCAGATAGGGGGCCATGGAGGAAACGCATGCCAAAAAGGGCCTGTTGCAGTACATCTCAAGGGCAATAGCTTACTCCTTGCATAATTTCGCCCAGGCACTCTCCTTATACGGGAGTGGGTAGAGACAATATCGCCGGCCACCTTCGGTCGATGTTAACTAAAGCATTATTGTCTCTGTTGCATAGGCGGTTTCCCATGTAGGTTGGAGAGAGGGACATGCTCCATGGGCAACAGCTTGCTCCTCACATTCGCTCAGGCACTACGTATACGGGAGTGGGCAGAGGCAATGATGCCATAGTCGACAACGACTGAAGGTGGCCGTCGATATATATATATATATATATATATATATATATATATATATATATATATATATATATATATATATATATGTATATATGTATATATATAGAGAGAGATATAGATATAGATAGATAGATAGATAGATAGATAGATAGAGAAAGAGAGAGAGAGAGAGAGAGAGAGAGAGAGAGAGAGAAACCGAGACCGAGATAGAGAGAGTGAGAAAGACAGAGGATTAGAAAGAGAGAGAGAGTGAGAAAGAGAGGGAGATATATATATATATAGAGAGAGAGAGACGGATACATTAAGAATGAGGCAACTTGAAATGATTCAACTGAACATTATTTAAGAGATTTGAAGTTCCATTACACGGGAAGGAATACCTAGGCTGCACTGAATCTCCGCCAGACACAAAGAAAGAAAAAACGCAAAAACGAAATATTGATTTGCAACGATATGGGATTCTATCAAGTGAGATATTACCACCTGAGCTGTCTGGTACCTATGCTGTCTGGTATTATGTATATATATTTTTCTTCAACAGCCATTCATTCCACTGCAGGACATCGGCCTCTCTCAATTCAGTATTGAGAGGTTATAAGGCAGTGTCACCCTTGCCTGATTGAATGCCCTTCCTAATCAACCGCGGTTCGGCGCGTTAACACGTGTGCCACGGCGGTGACTTCCCCTACGACACCTGTGTTTTGACTTCTCAAGCCGATATATTGTTTTCTCGAGCTCGAGGTAGCAGTCAGAGCGCTGGCATTTTTACATGCATATATTTGTGTAATTTTTTAAAATTGTGTGTGAATGTATCTGTGTCATTAAGGGGAAGGAACCACCCTCTCTCAATCCATGTTCGGGAGGAAAAACCTCCGAAACACCAAAAGACTCTCACAGCAAACCATCATCACACTCCGGGACAGCCCATTGCCCCTTAGCTTTACTGTCAATTTGAATCACTCAGAATCCTGTGCCTCTTCGCTCATCATTCTGACCGAGTCCTTTTCTCTGGGGACGCTGCTTCCGCTTCCTCAAAGGACTTTCTCTTACCGCTTCTGGGTTCCTGGGCCTACTCTTCGGCCTCTGCTGAGGAGCGCATTTTCTTCGGGGACACCTCGCTTTCCTTAGAATTGGCCTTCCTCTTTCTGTTGGCGCTTTTCTGATTTGCCTTCTCTTGCTTGAGGAGTTCCTGTTCCCTTTTCTTCGCTTCCTTCTGCTCTTTTTCTATCCTGGCCTTCTCCGCCTTTTCTGCCTTAATGCGCTCCTGCTCCTTCTTCTTTTCCTCCTTAAGGCGTT